AAAAAAAAAAAAAAAAAAAAGAGAAAAGTCCAGATCCATATGGATCCTAGATCCAGAACACGGTGTTAGAACATGGAAAAACACTGCAAGATTCTGTAAAGTGAAAAAAGCATTTGCAAACAATATGTACAGGTGGAGCTGCTGAGTCATTGACACTAATAGTTGTTACCAAACCGTTCTCCGAGAAGTTGCCTCAGTTTACCCTGGGATTCTCCTATGGAGGGAAGAGTTGAGCTTTCAGACTTGACGCACTTCTGGGTGCCCCTCCCCACTTTCTACCCACCACAGGCCACAGGGATCTGGACCCATATTCTTTTATTTTCTTTCTTTGAGACGGAGTTTCCCTCTGTTGCCCAGGCTGGAGTGCACTGGTGCAGTCTTGGCTCACTGTAACCTCCGCTGCCCAGGTTCAAGCAATTCTTGTGCCTCCCAAGTAGCTGGGACTACAGGTGTGCATCATCATGTCCAGCTAATTTTTTTGTATTTTTAGTAGAGACAGGGTTTCTTCATGTTGGCCAGGCTGCTCTTGAACTTCTGACCTCAGGTGATCCACCTACCTTGGCCTCCCAAAGTGCTGGGATCACAGGTGTGAGCCACCACACCCAGCCTAAACATGCTATTTCTTTAGTTTGAATACATGTAAACACAAATCTATCACCAAATACATACAAAAAAGCCATTACATATACCCACGTTCTAGTCTGCAAAATAGTCTTTTTCTTTTCAGGCACCCAGGCTACAGTGCAGAGGTGCAGTCATGGCTCACTGCAGCCTCCACATCTCTGGCTCAACTAATCCTCCCACTTCAGCTGGGAGGACTACGGGCTGGACTTCAGGCACGCGCCACCACACCCAGCTAGTTTTTTTGATGTTTTGTGAGGTCTCACCATATTGCCCAGGCTGGTCTTGAGCTCCTGGGCTCAAGCGATCCTCCAGCCTTGGCTTCCGAAAGTGCTGGGATTACGGGCCTGAGCCACCTCATCCAGACTGCAAAATAGTTGATTGAGCTGGATTAGAATGTTGGCCTTCTTAAAAATAATTATGAATGTTCACACATTTGTATGGGAGTTATGAAAAAACTCCAGGAACTTTTATTATATGCCCCACAAGAAGGTAAAAAAAATTGTGCTCAAAAAAAGTTCAAATAATTTTTTAAATTTCACACTAACTTGTTTATTTCTGTTTAGGTACACAACTGTCTCTATTTTACCTCATGAGTCTGCTTCCCACTATAGGACATCTTCTTAATTGCCACCACTTCGTTGGTGTGAGCATTTGTAGCCTGTGTTAAGAGAAGAGAAGAAAAGGAATTAATGATGTTTCAGCCAATTTAACGTAAATATTTGACCAGAGACCATTTTTTATTACTGCAACCTCTGCCTCCCGGCTTCAAGCAATTCTCCTGCCTCAGCCTCCCAAGTAGCTGGGATTACAGACATGTGCCACCATGCCCAGCTAATTTTTTTGTATTATTAGTAGAGATGGGGTTTCTCCATGTTGGTCAGGCTGGTCTTGAACTTCCAACCTCAGGTGATCTGCCTGCCTCGGCCTCCCAAAGTGCTGGGATTATAGGCATGAGCCACAATACCTGACCTATTTATTTATTTTAAGACAGAGTCTCACTCTGTCACCCAGGCTGGAGTGCAGCTCACTGCAACCTCCACCTCTTGGGTTCAAGTGATTCTCCTGTTTCAGCCTCTCAAGTACTTGACTAGAATTACAGGCATGTGCCACCATGCCAAGCTAATTTTTTTTGTATTTTTAGTAGAGATGGGATTTTACCATGTTGGCCAGGCTGGTCTTGAACTCCTGACTTCAAATGATCTGCCTGCCTCAGCCTCCCAAAGTGCTGGAATTACAGGTGTGGGCCACTGTGCCCAGGCAGCTAGAGACTTTTCAATTTAATTTTATTTTTTGAGATGAAATTTTTGCTTTGTCACCCAGGCTAGAGTGCAGTGGCATGATCTTGACTCACTGCAACCTCTGCCTCCTGGGCTCAAGTGATTCTCCTGCCTCAGCCTCCCATGTAGCTGGGATTACAGGCATCCACCACCATGCCTGGCAAATTTTTGTATTTTTTGTAGAAACGAAGTTTCACCATGTTGGCAAGGCTGGTCTCGAACTCCTGACCTCAGGTGACCCACCCGCCTCAATCTCCCAAAGTGCTGGGATTATAGACATGAGCCATCGTGCCTGGCACGATGCCACTGCAGTATCACAGTTCAAAGATGCTTCAATTTCTGATAGGCTAAATTGACATTTCCATTCCCATTTTAAAGTGTAGTTTCTCTGTATTCTTTTCCATATTCATAAAAGATTGTAATATAAAAAATGATTAGGGTTTAACATATCAAATCAAACAAAGAATGTCATATTTCCAAAATATCCATACTGGTTCACTTGGTAGACTGTCCATCAATGGAGAACCAGTTAAAAAAAAAAATGATCATATAATGAAATAACCATTTAAGGAATGAGGTAACCTATGTGCAATGCAGTATGAAAAGATGTTTAAAATGTTTTTGTAAAAAACAAACTATAAAGCAGAATTTGATTTCTGCAAAATAGTAATAATGTGAGTATATGTGTAGAAAAATTATAAAAGAATTTATACCAGAATATGTATCAATGATAATCCCTGGAGCAGGGCTATCTGATAGAATTTTCTATGATAATGAAACAGTTCTATTTCTACATTGTCCAAAAGAGTAATATGTGAAATGTGGCTAGTGTGACTGAGAAAATAAATTTTAAATTTTATTTAATTTTAATTAACTTAACTTTGAATAGTTACATGTGCCTACTTGCTATTGTATTGAACAGTACAGCAGAAAGTAAGATTAATCCTAAGAGGGACTTTCATTTTCAGGGTTACTTATAAGACTGTATTAATATATGCATACCTACATTTATGTATGTATATATGTGTATTTTTTATCTATAGAGGTTGCCTTGTATCATAATTATGTCTACTTGTCTTCTCCATACTCCAAATATGACAGTTTATTGAAAGTACAAACGAAAACCATGAATAACTCGTCACAGTCTTTTTCTCTCAACTTAAGATATATATATATATATATATTTTTTTTTTTTTTTTTTTTTTTAAGACAGGATCATGCTCTGTACTCAGGCTGGAGTGCAGTGGTGCAATCTCAGTTCACTGCAACCTCTGTCTCCCAGGCTCAAGCAATCCTCCCACTACAGCCTCCTGAGTAGCCTGGGATTCCAGGTACCCACCACCACGCCTGGCTAATTTTTATATTTGTAGTAGAGACAGGATTTCACCATATCAGCCAGGCTGGCCTCAAACGCCTTGCCTCAAGTAATCTGCCCGCCTCAGCCTCTCAAAGTACTGGAATTATAGGTGTGAGTCATTGCGCCTGGCCTCAACTTACTTAAAATATTTAAAACTATTAGTTTTCTTAAAATTTTCGTAAAAATAAATACAAGACATTAAAAGATTACTTCTGTATCAGGGCCATGCCCCTGATGTAAGTAAGCTACTTTGCTGCTGTGATATTATTATCATTGTGGATGAATAAAGCTATCACAGTGGTTCTGAAGTAAAAGACTGGAATTCATTCACTGATAAAGTCAGGTTAACAATTTTAGAGAAAAATTCATAATCATTTTCTCAAATATAACTAATTTTAATAATATAAAACGAAGCTTCTCAGATATAAGAACAGTTTCTTTATGATTTTTAAAAACGGTTAATTTAAACAATAAACAATAATGTACTACATAAAAGTAATTTGACCACAGATTCTTATGGAATGTCAAAATGAAAAAAAAAACCCACAATAACATACTACAAAAAATTTTTTTCAAACAAGCACTAAGGTAAAAGTGCCTATTATGTATCCATGAGGTATCTACTGGTCATAATTTTCTGATCTGCAGAACTCCACAAAAGCATATTTTAGGTATTTTATTGATTTAGAAAGTACAGACTGACTTTTGTTAAAAACAAAAATCTCTCACACTGTTCTGGCTTTTAAACTTTTACATGAAGACTATGCTTATATGGCAATCGGAAAGAAAAGCTGATGTAAATTCAGTATTACAATAAAGGTTAGAGGGATTGTATTTGAAAAGTATATATTTTAGGCATCAATATATATAATGAAGCTTAAGGAGTCTGGGAAAGATTTAGGAAATACTCAGGCAATGAGAAATTTTAACTTGTGAGGTTTTAAAAAATTATTAACCATTAGTTTAAAAAAATCCCACAGAAATAAAATCAGATATTATTATTTAATTGCTTATTAAGGTTATTTATAATCAATGTTATATTTGGCACTGGAAACATGAAAAAAACCACCCTATAATAAAAATACATTTCTTACATTTATAGGATAATCACGAATTAGAACTTAATGCTTCCACTCACTTATACATCCTACTATATAGGCAGAGACTTGAGATATGAACTTTTTTCTTTTTTTGAGACTGAGTCTTGCTCTGTCGCCAGGCTGGAGCGCAGTGGCGCAATCTCAGCTCACTGCAACCTCCGCCTCCTGGGTTCAAGCGATTCTTCCGCTTCGGCCTCCGGAGTAGCTGGGACTACAAGCGCACGCCACCAAACCTGGCTAATTTTTGTATTTTTAGTAGAGTCAGGGTTTCACCCTGTTGGCCAGGATGGTCTCAATCTCTTGACCACATGATCTGCCTGCCTAGGCCTCCCAAAGTGCTTGGATTACAGGCATGAGCTACCGCACCTGGCCAGATGTGAACTTTTTAATGCAAATGTTGATTATTCTATAGATTTGAACTTTTTACACTGGCTAAAAGTCAGAACATGCTAGATTGAAACTTAAAAAATAAAAATCAATGCTTTAGTACAGAAAAAGGAAATTATCAATGGGGTCACAGTTTTCTAGTGCTCCATATAATATTATTAAATGACTACAGAATCTATCATGTCAAGTTTTATTCTTGAAACTTACATTCATACTTAATACTTCTAATAGTCTCAATGGTCTCAGTAACTATTATCTAGATCATTGATTCAATAAATATTTATTAAGAACTTACTATTATGTGTTTATGATATATTTTTAAACATTTTCCAGCTATACCTTTTGCTATTTTGTAGACAAATATAAAAAATTATGTTAATTTAGGAGGCAGGCCAGGTGCGGTGGTTCATGCTGGTAATCCCAGCACTTTGAAAGGCAGAGGTGGGTGGATCACCTGAAGTCAGGGGTTTGAGACCAGTCTAGCCAACATGGTGAAACACTGTCTTTACTAAAAATACAAAAATTAGCTGGGCGTAGTGGAACATGTCTGTAATCCCAGCTACTTGGGAGGCTGAGGCAGGAGAGTTGCTTGTACCCAGGAGGCAGAGGTTGCAGTGAGCCAAGATTGCGCCACTGCACTCCAGCCTCTGTGACAGAGAGAAACTTGTCTAAAAAAAAAAAAAAAAAAAACCCACCAAAACCCGTCCTCTAAAAAAAAAAATTAAAAACAAAATTAGCTGGGTGTAATGGCACATGCTTGTAGTCCTAGCTACCTACTCAAGAGGCAGAGGCAGTAGGATTGCTTGAGTCCAGGGGTTCGGGATTACAGTGAGCTATGATCACACCACTGCACTCCAGCCTAGGTGACAGAGTGAGATCCTATCTCTAAATAAATGAATAAATAAAAATTTAAGAAGTGAAAAGCTTTCCTTTTGCCCTATTTTTTGAGCCTCAACTAAAAGGTAATTATATCCACAAAGACAAAGTATTTGCTTTAGGTGGGTTATGGATAACATACTGAATTCAACAAAGGAGATCTAGACACCTACAAACTTTAGAGTTGTGTTTAGGTGAATACAAAAATGAACATGCTTGGTCCTTTTTTTGTTTTCCTTTAGTACACTTTCTTACTATCCCATTTGTTAATGCTGCTGATTCCTTTATTAAAAAAATTTTTTTTAGAGATGGGCTCCCACTATGTGGCCCAGACTGGTCTCGAACCCCTGGGCTCAAGTGATTCTCCTACCTCAGCCTCCCAAAGTGCTGGGATTACATGCGTGAGCCACCACGTCCAGCCAATGCTGCTAATTTCAAAATTACTTGTAAATCCAAACACACAGAAATATTTCATCAAGTTAATAATTTCTTTGTTCTCTGAACATAACATACACTCTCAGCTGATTGATTTAACAAGAGCTCTTCCAGCTTACAATTCACACTAAGTATATTCTCTGGCAGCATTCAGTGTAAAAGCTGTGACCTACAGAGGCTAACAGAATTACAGTGTTTAGGTATAAAAATACTAGCTGCCAGACTCTGTTCTTTATGGCTTCCTATCATGACTATGACTTATGAAAAGTACTAATTAGCAGTATCAAGTTCTCAGTTCTTCATCATTCATTCATTCATTCATTCAATACCTATTAGCTGCCCACAATTTATCAGGAATTGGGCTAAGTGCTAGAGATAAAATAGTGAGTTCATAGGTCCAGTACCCATCTCTCCTCTAAGGAGGACAAACAATAACAAAAATAAAATGAAAAAAGACAAAATATAAAACTGCAGTTGTGATATGTGCCACAAAAACAGGTATGTGTTACTTTGAGAATGAACAATGGTGGATGTGACTTAGGGAGGTCAGGAAAGTCTTCCCTGAAGAAATGAGGTTTAGGCTGAGAGCTAAAGGATGAACAGGAGTTAAGAAGGTGAAAACAGAAGGGAGAAATATTTGAGAGAGAACAGTTTACTCAAGATTCCAGGAAGGATGATCAGAAGAAAGGAATTAGAGCTATAGCAATGAGAATGAGAGAGAAGACAGTTCAGGTTGAGATAGGGACCATGAAGGACCTTGTAGGCTGGCTACAGTAAGGATTTTGATCTTGGCCTAAGAACAAGGGAGAGCCCCTGAAGGCTTTATAGGGAAAGGGGATGTGTTTAGATTTACATTTTTGTATTTTCAAGCTCATTGAGGTATGTACAACAGACTGAAGAGAGACCAAAGTAGGCAATCACAGTTGTCTAAATAAGAGATAACAGTCTTCTTGGTTATAATGGTATAGTACAAGTAACAAGAGGAAAAAAATCTGTTAGCAGAGAGTAAGAAGGAACATACATAAATATTACTTTGGCCAACACAAAAATCAATTTTTAGGGTACTACCAATGTGACCACTATAGATAAAAGGTTAAAGATGGCCGGGTGCAGTGGCTCATGCCTGTAATCCTAGCACTTTGGGAGTCTGAGGCAGGCGGAGCACAAGGTTAGGAGTTCGAGACTGACCAACATAGTGAAATCCTGTCTCTACTAAAAATACAAAAATTACCTGGGTGTGGTGACGTGTGCCTGTAATCCTAGCTACTCAGGAGGCTGAGGCAGGAGAATCACTTGAACCTGGGAGGCGGAGGTTGCAGTGAGCCAAGATCGTGTCACTGCACTCCAGCCTGTGTGATAGAGCGAGAGTCCATATGAAAAAAAAAGTTAAAGCTTTTTCTAAGTTTTATAGTATAGTGTCAGTTAATTCCCTTTTAATCTGTTTTTTAGTGCTTTATGGGTATACATAGGCCTGTACTATTCACATTTACATACAGGCACTACAGAGTTAATAATTACGTTTATCAATGCCACTCTGGTACCTGCATCGTTTCTTTAGTCTATCATTAGCAACAAATAATATATATTTAGTGCCCACTGTAAATGGGATTCTGCCAGGCCTTAGAGATGTAAAGAAATATTAATAGTCCTCACCTTGATAAAAACCACACACTCTAGCTAAATAGACAGGGCTTAGCCCAAAAAGCAAATAAATCACTAGATCTTCTGCATTCTACTTACTGTAGGGTAGGTCTCATTTTGCTACTTTTACAAATGGCTTTTAGTAAGTTTCAAAGCATGCTTGGTTTATTGTAGTCATTTTGAAACATTAGCACTTTAAGAAGGGTTTGGCTGCTTTTTAAATGAGAAGAGTCAAATAGAGACTTGCCAAGAGAGATTCTGAGAAGATGAATTAGATTTAAAGAAGTAGAAGAAAAGGTAGCAAAGATGACTGAAGAATTCATCTGTAAGCAAAACAAACGGGTCACAAATGAATATATACATTATGTTACCATTTTTAAAAAGCTCAAAACTAAGCAAAACCAATTTACGTTGTTTAGGAGTACAGAGTAAGTGGGTTATAAATATAAAGAAAAGTAAGAAAATAATCACCACAAAAATCAGAATAGTGGATTCTCCTAAGGGGAGGGAGAGGGTTCTGACTGAGGAGAATATAAGACGGACTTTTGGGATGCTGGTAGTATTCTATTTCTTGACCTGGGTGGTGTTTACACAGAGATTTACCTTTTAATTCTTTCTTAAGTTATATATTAAAATATATATGCACATTGTATATACATTCTTTATATATACGTATGATAAAAATGCTTTGTAACAAGAGGGTCTGTGAATAATGAAGACAAAACTTTGGCCCTTAAATGCTATTCTGACTAAACACCAGCATGGGAGTGTTAAGTAGGAAATTAGTACCCTTTTCAGCATCTTTTATTGTATTTAATGACAAAATACTTGAGTGGGAGCCAAGTTATTGATGGTGGTGAGGGAAGCAGAAGTAATGGTAGGGCTGAGTACAGACACAACGGTTGAGAAACAGTTCAGAGAAAATCTAGGCTGAAGATTTGGCTAGAAGCAAAAGGACAAAGTAAAGATGCAATTCATCAAATCTCATTTGGAAGGACAACTAAAGATAAGCCCTATCCAGATGGCAGAACATAAAGGACCACTTAAAAGGAAGGGTCAATACTGTTTGATTAAAAAGAAATTATTTGATTACAAGTTTGGAGAAGTAGACAATAATTAGTATTTAATTTATTATTTGCTTTAATGGATTATTATGCTTAAGGAATTATTTGTTACTTTAATAAAGCAAACTTCTGAGGTTATCAAGATTAAATTAAATAACTATATTTTGGCCGGGCACAGTGGCTTACGCCTGTAATCCCAGCATTTTGGGAAGCCGACTCGGGTGGATCACTTGAGATCAGGAGTTCAAGGCTAGCCTGGCCAACGTGGTAAAAACCCTGTCTCTACAAAAATACAAAAATTAGCCAGGCATGATGGCAGGTGCCTGAGGTGGGAGAATCACTTAAACACAGAAGGCGGAGGTTGCAGTGAGTTGAGATTGTGCCACACTGCACTCCAGCCTGGGCGACAGAGCAAGACTCCGTCACAAAACAAACAAACAAACAAACTGTATTTTATTTAATAAATTTCTGGAGAATAAGTTGTGTTAAAATTTTGGCTATTTCTTGTTTTTCTCATCAGAAGACAGTCATATTCTTGGAACTGCAACTGATTCTAGGGGGACAGTCTTGCACCACTTAACCAAAAATACTGACTTGACATGATTGCCACTAGAAATCTGTCAGTCCCTTTCTCTGAATAGTTGTCTGTTCATCTGTTTATCTGTCTGTCTACCATCCATCCATCCAGTATTTATCAAATTCCTACTAAAGTCAGACATTACACCAGTTTTTGGGAATATAATGATGAACAAGATAGACATAGCCTCTGTCCTTATGACATTGTTATTTAGGGAAAGAAATATATATAAAGCAAAAAATTGTATATGTAGTTGTTTTATTACAACAATTTTATTACAACCATTACGTATATGTGATAAATGCAACAAAATACAAGCATAAGATGTTATGAAATCATAAAGTATTGATTTAGGGGTGGAGTGCTAAACAGTAAAGGGTATCTTGCAGAAGTAATACTTAAGGTAAAACTTGTAGGATGAACAGACAAGGATGGAGATGTAATGTGCAGTTTTCTAGGTTGGGGGAATAGCATATATATAAGGTTCTGAGGCAGGAAAGAGCTTAGCATACAGTGGAAATGCACAAAGCTTAACTTCAAGCTCTTAACTTTCTTATACTACTTTAATAGGTGAGTAAGTTGAGATAAATACCACTGAATTGAATAAAGCCTAGGATTCTGGAACTGGCTTCTCAGCAATGACTATTTGCCTCTACTGCAGATATCATTTATTTATAGAAAAATCACTGAAATCAAACTTATTTTACAAGTAATAGCTATGTGTAGAGAACATGTAGAGTTCAAACTTTATTTTATTTTAGTTTTTTGTAGAGATAGGGTCATGCTATGTTGCCCAAGCTGGTCTTGAACTCCTGACCTCAAGGGAGCCTCCCACCTTAGCCTTGCAAAATGCTAGGATTACAAGCATGAGTCACTGTGCCAGGCCTAGAGTCCAACCTTTCCTACTTTGATCTATCTAAACAACCATCTTTAAGTACTTACAAAATAAACTGCTCCAAAACTTCCATGTCCAATTTCATGCAAACCAATAAAAAGTTCCTCAGGATCATCTTTGTAGAACAGATCGGCAAGCTCTGGGTCCTTAAGCACTCCTTTACGCATGATGCCAGTAGAGCAGGCACTCTGCTTTTTGATATCCTAGTTAGCTTTATTTCTCATTGACTATTTTTTTTTTTTGGTAAATGTTCAGTACCTGTAGAAAAATAGGGTTTGCCATTAAATTATTTCTAACACATTTTATTTGGTGGCAGTACAAATACATATAAATATTAAAAAGGCTCTTGGTCTCACAATTCAATAACAAAAGGACAAAAAACCCAAATAAAGAACAGATATAGGATCTGAATTGCCATTTCTCCAAAAAGATATACAAATGACCATTAGCATATGAAAAGATCCTGAATATCATTACTTATTAGAGAAATGAAAATTAAAACCACAGGGAGATACCATTGCATGCTCACTAGGATAGTGATAGTCAAAAAGTAAGATAAGTGTTCGTGAAAATGTGGAGAAATCAGAGCCCTCTAACACTGTTGGTGGCTGTGCCATTTTAGAAAACAGCCCTACAGTCCATCAAAAACTTAAGTACCGAGTTACCATTTGACCCAGTTTTCACTCCTAAACACACGTATACACCCAAGAGAAATGAAAACATATGTTCACACAAAAACTTGTGCACAAATGTTCATAGCACCATTATTCATAATAACCAGAAGGTGGAAAAAACCCAAATGTCCATCACCTGGTGAAAGAATAAACAAAATGTGGTATCTCCATATAATGGAATATTATTCAGCAATAAAAAGGAATGAAGTATGGGTACAGGCTGCAACATAAATGAACCTTGTAAAAATTATGCCAAATGAAAGACGCCAGTCACCAAAGACCACATATTGTAAGATTCCGTATATATATACACATATATATATGTGTGTGTATATATATATGTGTGAAATTTCCAGAATAGGCAAATCTATAAAGACAGAAGGTAGATTATTGGTTACTTAGAGATGGGGGGTTTGGAGGGTGGTAGCTAAAAGGTACAGGCTTTCTTTTCAGGGCAATGAAAATGTCCTAAAATTGACTGTGGTGATGACTGCATAACTGTGACTATACTAAAAACCATTCAATTGTACATTTCAAGCGAGTGAAGGATATAGAATGTAAATTATATCATAGAGATGTCACAAAAATTCATGTTGGTGTAATTAACGTTGAAATAATAACAGTTGGTATTTATTAATCGATACTATGTGTCAGGTAGCACTAAAACCACAGATATTATTTCCTTTAACCCCTACAATAGCTTCATAATATAATGACTTTATCTATTATCTTAATTTTAGAGAACAAACTAAGACTTTCATAGACTAAATTATTTCCCCATGGTCAGAAAGCCAGTATTTGTCAGGACTGCAATTAAAACTCAGATCTAACAGCAAAGCCCATACTCTTGACATGTGGTATATTCATATATAAATACAGGCAATTAAACAATTCTTTATTGACTACTAGAAGAAATTACTACCATTTGGAGGCTAGGCATAATCTCTATGTAAAGAGGCAAATTATTCTGTTGCTACATAAAACATTCTGAAATCAAAGTTTCTGTTAATAAAAGGACAACATTTTGACATGCTCACATATTGATCTGCCATTAGTTACATACATTTATTTGGTGTAGATTCTTTTTTATTTTTTGAAAAATATAGAAATGTTAACATTCATCTATATTTTCATTCTAAATAACCTCTGCCCTCATAACCAGATAATCATTGATTTATGCCAACATTTAAATTTATCACAGGGTAGTTTGTGTTTCTTCCTTGACCAACTAGATAACCAAGATAGAAATTTGGTTATTGGCCAATAAAACTATTTTTCAAAACATGGGCCAATGGGTCTCATGCTAGGAGAAGAGAAAAAGAAAGTAGACAATTAAAGGAGTGGCTGGGAACAATGCCTCATGCTTGTAATCCCAGCCCTTTTGGTGGCTGAGGCAGGCAGCAGATCACCTGATGTCAGGAGTTTGAGACCAGCCTGGCCATTATGGTGAAACCCCATCTCCACTAAAAATACAAAAATTAGTCAGGCATAGTGGCAGGTGCCTGTAATTCCAGTTACTCGGAAGGCTCAGGCAGGAGAATTACTTGAACCTGGTTGCAGTGAGCTAAGATGGCCCCATTGGACTCCAGCCTGAGTGACAGAGTAAGACTGTCTCAAAAAAAACAAAAACCAAAAAAAACCTGATAGTGCTAAGAGGTATTTTTTCTCTTGAGACATAGTAGTCATAGGTGACAACATACATTACTTCATGGAGTTAGTCTAGTTAGTTCACTAGTATACACAGCTCATCAACCTAACGATCCATCTACTTACCCAGCTCATTCTTTCATTCAGCAAATATTTGTTGAATGTTCACTATTTGCCAGACCCTATACTGGGTTTTGGAGATAAAATGGGATGTGGTCCCTATCCTTAGAGGACTTAGAAGTCAAATGGACTTATAGACATTAAATTATAATGACACAAATGATAAAATGTTATAACTGATTGGATTGGCCGGGCGCAGTGGCTCACGCCTGTAATCCTAGCACTTTGGGAGGCTGAGGTGGATGGATCATCTGAGGTCAGGAGCTCAAGACCAGCCTGGCCATCAGGGTGAAACCCCATCTTTAAAAAAAAAACAAAACAGAATCTGATTGGATTATGAGGGGAAAACAAACATTTTTTAATATAAGGATATTATGGGGTGACCCAGTCTATTTTTGACTTGGACATGAAAAAGCATGCCTTTCTAGGGAGAGTAAAACCAGTTCATTCAATATGAATTGTATGGGAGAGCTGGAAGGAGAAAACATGAAGCTGTTGTTGAGTCAAGGAAAATTACAAAAGGCCCTTTAAACCATATTAAGAAGTTTAGACTTTATCCTGAGGGGAACCACTGAAGGTTTATACAGAAAAAAGTATCCCCCCGCCAACAATGCACCTGTAATCCTACGCAGTCATCCTGCCAATCCATGGATGCCAATAATCAAGCATGAAGTTACTACATCAATACTACTGGGAATGTAAATTAAATCCAGCTATTTGACAATCAGGTAAATGAAAGCACAAAATAGGAGCTCAAAAGTGTCCTGTTTTTATTGCTTATGTCTGAGAACAACAAAAAAAGAAACAATGGATTAAATCAAAGACATATACCTTTTTGGACACAATGCATACAAGGCAAATGATAAGACTGTCTTTAAGAAAACCAAAAAGACCTATGAACTGAACTTATGATCATTAAAATCTTTTCAATCACCAAAATACATTATAAACTTTTGAATATTTTGGCTTTCATGTGAATAAAGCTAAGTGCTATGAATTTGGGGGGAAAAACACAGATTATAGATTAAAATCATTTTATGAAGAAATGTAAAGTATAAAATGTAAAGTGTAAAAATGAGACCATTAAAAACTTCTAGAATAAATTGCAAATGAATATTTAATTACTTAGCAAGATACCAGAAGCAAAAGCCATAAACTAGTATCAATAAGCTTGACTATATATAATTAATAACTTTTTTTTTTTTTTGAGACGGAGTTTCGCTCTTGTTACCCAGGCTGGAGTGCAATGGTGCCATCTCGGCTTACTGCAACCTCCGCCTCCTGGGTTCAGGCAATTCTCCTGCCTCAGCCTCCTGAGTAGCTGGGATTACAGGCACGCGCCACCATGCCCAGCTAATTTTTTGTATTTTTAGTAGAGACAGGGTTTCACCGTGTTGACCAGGATGGTCTCGATCTCTTGACCTCATGATCCACCCACCTCGGCCTCCCAAAGTGCTGGGATTACAGGCATGAGCCACTGTGCCCGGCCAATAACTTCTTTACCTTAAACATGTAATGAAGGGACTTATGAAGCCAAAATGGAGTAACAGGGGCTGTATTTATTATCTACCACCAGGAACAATTAAAACACTGGACAGGCTGGGTGCAATGGCTCACGCCTGTAATCACAACACTCTGGAAGGCCAAGGTGGATGGATCATGAGGTCAGGATATCAAGACCATCCTGGCCAGCACAGTGAAATCCTGTCTCTATTAAAATAGAAAAAATTAGCCAGGTGTGGTGGGGCGTGCTTGTAATCCCAGCTACTCAGGAGGCTGAGGCAGGGGAATCACTTGAACTCGGGAGGTGGAGGTTGCCGCGAAGCAAGATTCCCCCACTATACTCCAGCCTGGCAACAGAGCAAGACTCTGTCTCAAAACAAACAAACAAACAAGCAAACAAATAACACTGGACAGGGCTCGGTACAGTGATTCATGCCTGTAATCCTAGCACTTTGGAAGGCCAAGGTGGGCGGGTGGCTTGAGCCCAGGAGTTCGAGACCAGCCTGGGCAACAGGTTGTATCTCTACAAAAGATAGAACAATTCAGCTGGGCATGGTGGTATACACCTGTAGACCCAGCTACTCGGGAAGCTGAGGTGGATGGATCACCTTAGCCTGGAGGCCATGGTTGCAGTGAGCCAAAAATCTACTGCACTCTGGATAAAACACTGGATAACGCTGGATAAAACATATAAATGATGGTAATTGAAGACAATGCATATCTGGCAAAGAAAGACAATGATCCTTAACAGAAGACAAGCAAATGATGTAAGCCGTTAATTGTTTGAGCTTAACACCCTGGGAGAATTTCTAGGCCATGGTGCAGACAGGGGAAATCCAGTTAGAGCCTGTGAACTCCCTGAGTTGAGGAGACAAAGATGACAGCCCTGGTTGACCAGGGCAGGTAGAGTTGGCAGGACAGAGTGCCAAATAGAAGAGAGCAGCAAAGAAACAGGATATGGAGATTGGTAAAAGGTTCCCCTTAGGTCTTCAGCTGAGCCCTGATTAGTGCATGCATATGAGAAAACTGCCTTAGAACAGGGGAAAAAACGATCTGAAAGGAATAGAGACTACAGACAGTACTTGTTCCCCCTAGCCAGGACAGGAAATCTCATAATTCACAGGGCACTCTGGAGGCTACTCAGAAGAGTCTTGTCTTCATAGCAGGGACCCTAGACTAAATGCTGGTCTGTGATGCCTAACCAATTTTATTTTATTTTTTATTTGTGAGACAGGGTCTTGCTCTGTTGCCTAGGCTGGAGTGCAAGGGTACAACCATGGCTCATTGCAGCCTCAACCTCCTGGGCTCATGATC